GGGGTTTATATTCTTCTTTTTAGGTTTAATACCTTTAGCTTTTATAATTGCCTTTTCAGGTTTAGAATTAGGTATTGCCTTTATACAAGCTCAAGTATTCGTAGTTTTAACTAGTAGTTATATTAAAGATGCTTTAGATTTACATTAATTATAAGTAAAATAAGTTCTATTATTTATTGTTACTTACACTTGTAGCCTGTTAAGGTCTATAAACTAAACAAGAAATTTCTTGTTTTTGTGATACTAATAGTACAAGTGCTATATGTATAGTACAGGAAAGTCTGGTGCTTATTAAATGTCAACACCTAAAAAATGAGTGTTGGGTAAAAACTTGAGTATTTAATAGAAAATAATTAAGGTCTTTCTATAGTTATTTAAACTATAGGTAAATGTATAGAAAACAATTAAAAAATAATAATGATAATCGTATAGAAAACAATTAAAAAATAATAATGCTAATCATATTAAAAATTATATGAACAAAACTAATTAAAAACTATACAGTAAAATAATCTTAATGAGATCTCAAGCTTGACGTTAGGCCTTAATATAGACTAATAACTATAACAGGATCCGGCTTAAAAGTATCCAAAAACAATAATAATTTTTTTTTTTTTTTATATAATATATTTATATAATTATATAAATATATTAATTAGTAATGGTATAGGAATGTAGATCTGGTTGCTTAAATTTATGTTTTCTATACCTATATATTGAGTTTGATGATGGCTCTGAATGAACGCTGTCCAAGTGCTTGACACATGCTAATCGAACGTCTAATTTAATTAATGATTTGTTTCATCTATTTCATTAGAAGTGGTGTACAGGTGAGTATATAACATTTTGGCTGCCTTAGAGTAAGGTTTATAAATACCTTATAATACGCAATAAAAGGAAATTAACTTCCGCTTTAAGAGGACAATAAATGTTTCGGATAGGTAGTAGTTAAAGTAATGGTTTAACTAGCTTAAAATTCCGTAGTCGAGGCTGAGAGGTCGATCGATCACATTGGGTCTGAAAAAACCCCAATACGTATAGTACAGCAGTGGGGAATATTGGTCAATAGCCTAACGGCTGAACCAGCAACTTGGGAGAATGTATAGCTACGGCTAGTTATTTTGGTTGTTTAATTAATTATATACGAAACTTATGTTCTTCGTATATAGGAGATTATTCACTTTTTGTTTCTTTTTAGCGCCGGTGTTTTCAAAATTAACTTACCACTCACCGTAAGGTGCACGTAAGTAATACTTAAGTGGACAAAGTAATATCGATTTTATCGAATAAAGTTCTAGATAGGATACTGATCATGACAATTTTCTGTCTATATGTCTTGACCAAATTACGTGCCAGCAGTCGCGGTAATACGTAGAAGACTAGTGTTATTCATCTTTAGTAGGTTTAAAGGGTACCTAGACGGTATAATTAGTCTTTAATAGGAAACGGTTATACTAGAGTTATATATGAGGAGGTGAGTATTTGTGGAGTAGAGTTGAAATTCTTTGATACCATGAGGACTGGTAAAGGCGAAAGCAACCTTTTATCTAATAACTGACGTTGAGGGACGAAGGCTCGGGTAGCGAACAGGATTAGATACCCTAGTAGTCCAAGCAGAAAATGATGAATGCCATAGGTTAGATAATATTTTAGTCTATAAATGAAAGTGTAAGCATTTCACCTCAAGAGTAATGTGGCAACGCAGGAACTGAAATCATTAGACCGTTTCTGAAACCAGTAGTGAAGTATGTTATTTAATTCGTCGTTACGCGAAAAACCTTACCACAACTTGAATATTATATTAAGTAAATCTTATCTTATAATAAGAGATATAGAATATATTACAAGCGTTGCACGGCTGTCTTCAGTTAATGTCGTGAGATATTGGTTTATTCCATTAAATTAACGGAAACCCTTGCTTTATTTGCGATCTAATCTAAATAAAGCAGTTCACCATCATATCGGATATGATAACAGGGACCAAGACAAGTCATCATGGCCTAAATGTTGTGGGCGATAGACGTGCTGCATATTCCTATACAAAATGATGCAATAATGTGAATTGGAGCTAATCTAATAAAGTAGGATAAAACATGGATTGTAGTCTGTAATTCGACTGCATGAATAAGGAATTACTAGTAATCGTGAATCACCACGTCACGGTGAATTTTTTCTCAGATAGGTACTTACTACTCGTCAGGCGCCGAAAGAAGTGTGTGCAATAAGTTTGGTCTTTCATTTATTTTTACTCTAGTCTATTCGTTCTAGTTTTTTTATGGAAGATTTTCGTATGCGTGACTTTGATTGGTGTTAAGTCGAAATACGGTTCGTGTAGTGGAAATTGCACGGGATTGATTTTATATTAACAATACAGGTATATTTATATACTTATGTGTATAATACTTATAGTCTGCCCCCCCCCAACTCGGGACTATAAGATCATTATATATAAAGGAAGGTTCCGTTTGTTGGTATGACGGGTTGAGCTGTAAACTCAATAGCAATATGCTGTCGAAGGTTCGAGTCCTTTTCTTCCTAATTATTTACGTATAAAGGCGCCATTAGGCCTTTATAGCTCAAAGGTAGAGCAAAATACTGTTAATATTTCGATAGATGTTCGATTCATCTTGAGGGCTGGTAACTCAGAATATGTCGGGCGTGTTGGCTTAATGGTAAAGTTCTGTGTTTCGGCCACAAGTATATAAGTTCAACTCTTATACACGTCTTTATTCTTATTTAACTGCCCTTTCCTCTAGCTTTGTTAGATTTAAATTCTTTCTAACTATGGTAGTTAATTTTTATTTAATGTTATTTAGTTAAATATAATGAGGTTTTTTCTGTTTTATCTATGAATAGTCTTTATATTTTAAATGAAAGTTTCACGAATGGCTATAGATCAGAGATATTAGACATTATATCTTTATCGGCTATTTTATGTGGAATATTCGTTATTATTAGCAAAAACCCTATTGTTTCTGTTCTGTTTTTAATAGGTTTATTTTTAAGTATCGCTAGTTACCTAATGATATTAGGTTTAAACTTTATTGGTCTTTCTTACTTATTAGTATATGTTGGTGCTGTGTCAATTTTATTCTTATTTATTTTAATGTTAATAAACGTTAGGATAAGCGAGCTATTAAGTAAGACTAGCAATAGTATACCTTTAGCTATACTTATTACCATTGCATTCAACTATCCTTTATATCAAATATTGCCATATAGTATTGCCTCCTTTAATAGTTATACTGTTGATTTAAATAATACTTTAAATGATATACGATATCATAATTATAGTGATAGTTTAAATAAATTTTTTAAGTTAAATGGTGCTGAATTAGACAACGGTGAAATATCCTTCGTTACTAGTAAAATCTGAGACGGTAATTTAGCCGAAACTAGTCATATATCTAGTATAGGTAATATTATGTACACTAGTTATAGTATATGATTAATATTAACTTCTATTATATTACTATTAGCTATGGTTGGTGCTATCGTTATTACAATAAAACAAAAAAATTAATAAAACCATCTATAAAAGATAGCTTTATATTTATATATGTATAATAATTTAACTTATCCACTCATTATTTATATTATAATTCTTAAGTTATATTTACAATATATCTTATACAATTATAAGGGCTAGTCCTTTCTAATTGGTCAGAAACTTTCTTGTCATGAAAGTAAATGTCGGTTCGAATCCGACCTAACCCGTAGTGATATTATAAACAAAAAAGGGATTGGCTTAATGGTAGAGCAACCGTTTTACACACGGAAGGTTAGGTGTTCAAGTCACCTATTCCTTAAACCTCAATATATGTATAGTATTTATATGTATATATATATATATATATTGTGCTTTAATGAGATACCTCGGGTATGCATAGATATAAATATATCTTTTGTTAAACAAGAATATATATATATTATGAAATTATATAAACAATAAAAAAGAATATATGACAAATTTGACTAGAAGTAATTTTCAAGCTCATCCTTTTCACTTAGTATCACCGTCACCCTGACCATTATATACTTGTATTGCTTTATTAACATTAACAACAAGTGGTGTATTAACAATGCACGGTTTTAGTAATGGTGAAATGTTTTTATCCTTAGCTTTTGTAACACTTATTTCTTCAATGTCATTATGATGAAGGGATGTTATAAGTGAGGGTACATATTTAGGTAACCATACATTAGCAGTACAAAGAGGTTTAAATATGGGTGTGGCTTTATTTATAGTTTCGGAAGCGTTATTATTCTTAGCTATATTTTGAGCTTTTTTTCACAGTGCCTTATCTCCTACAGTAGAATTAGGAGCACAATGACCACCAATGGGTATAGAAGCTATTAACCCATTTGAATTACCTTTACTTAACACAGTAATACTGTTATCAAGTGGTGTTACAGTTACATATGCTCATCATTCTTTAATACAAGGAAATAGAAGTGGAGCTTTATATGGATTAGTGGCTACAGTAATCTTAGCTGTAATATTCACAGGATTTCAAGGTGTAGAATACACTGTTTCTTCTTTTACAATAAGTGACGGTGCCTTTGGATCTTGTTTTTATTTTGGTACGGGTTTTCATGGGTTTCATGTTATGATAGGTACTGCTTTTATTGCGGTAGGTTTGTGACGAGTATTAGCTTACCATTCGACAGAAAATCATCATTTGGGTTTGGAATCGAGTATATTATACTGACACTTTGTGGATGTGGTATGGCTATTTCTTTTTATATCAATATATTACTGAGGATCCTAAATAAAATTTACAATAATTTAAATAATAGGGGTTTAATATCTCGTCCACCGAAACCCGCGGGTTTCGTTACAATAAATCTAGAAAGTTCTATTATACCAAAAAAGGTTATATATTCTCATCTTATACCTAATAAAATAAGTACATTTAATAAGAATAAAGTAATAAGTATACCTACACCCTTAGATAGTGCTAAATTAACTTTACCCGAGATAGGTACATATAAGTTCCAATACTGATTAAAAGGTTACGATATTAATAATTTACATGTTTTAGATAGCAATTATTTAAATTGATATAAAGTACGAAAAGCTCTTCTAGACTTTGAAGCGAATAAAGTGTCTCAGCAGTTGCCTGAATCTTTTAATAGCTGTCGTGAAGCGTTGTTTCAAGTAGTAGGATATTTAGAATTTAAATACCCTGATGCTTATATAAGTATATATATAAATAATGAATTGCACATCGTAAATAAAATAAATGGTGAAGTGTACTCTTTAAATAGTCAACGTCCATTAGATGTGTTAGCTTTACTTACCATGGATGACTTTAGCATTCTTCAAATACGTCCAGACGGGGAATATTATTTGACAGCTAGTGCTACGTTATTTCCAATTGGTTGAGCGTTAAATGAAAGAATAGGTTATTCTATACGGGATTTACACAATTCAGCCCCTAAGTGAAGAAAGGGCGATTATGCCTACGATAATACAAGAGGCTTATTCGATAAAATCAAGGGACCTCACGTATTTCACAGGAATAATTATTTTATTGTTAATACATCTAAATTGTTTTTACCTGAAAATATTATAAAAATACCGTTAGCTGGTGACATAGGCAATTTACCTGGGTTTAGGTATGAAGATATTTATGTTAGGCGGGAGTTACAAACTGCGATTAGATTAATAGAATCTAATTCTATATTATTCACAGTAAGAACTTTTATTGCTCCTATGACTTCTCTTACTGATACACAGTTACTTAATTTACATGAATTATATTTAAGTATAAAAAAAGAAAATAGGGAGTATCATAACGTACATAAACTAGAACCTGTTATACGTAAATATATAACAGAAGTTAGAAAACTAAAATAAAAAAAAACTTTTTTTCTATGATATATTATTATGTATGACTTAGTTATCTCAACTTGGTTTATTATCATGTGAGTAGTAATTCTATTCTTTATATAATTTTTGGTTTTTCTAACTGAAAATAAGCGTACTTTATGTGAAGGGCTTGTATCTTATGTTTATTAATATTCTCGTATATAATGTTGTAATATTGTTGCAATATTACCTATATACCAGGTAATAATCGCTAAATTCTTATGGTTGGCTATACTTGCTAAAATACTTCTTTTTTATGTTTCTTATTTATAGATTATACATATAACTTATGTATAATAGAGATCTTAGTTTAATGGTAAAATACGAGATTTTTAATCTTTGTTATAAGGGTTCGACCCCCTTAGGTCTTACATGTATACTCTAAACATAATAAATAATATAAACAAAGCTAGCCTAGTCTTGGCTAGCTTCCACAAAAACAATCATTTTTTTTGTTTTATTTAAACATAACTTAAATAAACGGCCATAGGTTAATGGTAGACCTTTCGTTTTCCAAGCGAATTGTGTCGATTCGAATTCGGCTGGCCGTATTTATATTATTTATCCGATTAAACCCGCTTAAGGATCTGTATAATCCTTTATAATAAATAACAATTAAGTATAAGCATATTTATATTATACTTTTATGCGGTTAACCTCTTTTTGTATTGATGTTCATAATAACGGTAGTTCCTTTGCATATAGCCGTACTGTATACAATAAAACAGTAACCATAAGTGGTAATATAGAACAAGTAAATTAGTCGTTATATATTTATATATATAAAGTATAAAATATATGATTTTATAAATTTTATATAAGGAAAAGTTGCTATTGGTAAAGCGAGATATTTGCTAAATATTGTGTTATGCACCTGGATGTTCGAATCATCTCTTTTCCGTAAATTACAATAAGGTTTATATATTAATAATAACTTTATTAAATATAAGAGCATAGTTTAATGGTAAAATTTGAAGCTTCAAACTTCACTTTCTCAGTTCAAATCTGAGTGCTCTTGCATGAAAAATTAAAAATATATTATTAACCTTTTTGTTTGGTTCTTATCATTCTCACTAAAGGATTGTTTATGGAGCACAAGGTATAACACCTGTTAAATTGATACATTGTCCTCTCCCTATATGTGAAGGATTTTATTGTCGACGTACAAATAGTGAATATATTTCCTTATATAGGTCCAGGTCTATATATGCGGATAAACTACTATCTTAAATATTCTAGAGGGGGGGATATGTTTAACATCCTTTAATTTGCAATAAGGCTATATACATAATAATGTATCAGTAGTAAAACTGAGTCAAAAAATAGAGGTTAAAAATATTATAAAATAAAGTTCTTTAGCTTAACTGGTAGAGCGTATTCTTGATAAGGATGTTATTCAAGTTCAAGTCTTGAAAGAACTAAATTTTAATTTAAGGTATTAATTATAGGTATGTGTTTTTTAATTTAATAGCTTCTATTACATATATTAAATATCTTAACCATTAAATTACATATAGAGAATTGACTGAGTGGTTTAAAGTGATAAGCTTGAAACTTATTTGATTTAATAGATCACATCCGTTCAAATCGGATATTCTCTGCTTTAACACTAATTGAGTAAAAAACAAATAAAACGGATTAGAGCCAGGTTGGTTAGGCGCCTCATTTGGGTTGAGGATCTGTTATGTTCGAATCATAATAATCCGATAAAAAATATAAACATATTAGTAATGTGTATGATATCTATGGCGAATTTCTATG